CTCCAAGCCTGGAACTGAACCCACCCCACTGATCAACTTTCAGCCAAACAATAGATAAGACTATAAAGCGAATAATAACACCAGGGAGGAATGTGCTTCTCAGTACAGATCAACTCTGTGAGACCAAAAGGGCAGCATTTTCCCAAAAACAAAAGTAAGAAGGCAGGAAGGGGCAGGAAAGGACAAATGGAAACAGGAACCAGGGAGGAAGCGGGGAGAGTGCTATTACATCGAGGGGCTTGTAACCAACGTCACAAAATAAAATGTGTATAAATTGTTCAATGGAAAACTAATAAGCTTTGTAAACTTTCACACAAACTACATTTTTTTTCTTTTAAATGGCTAAAGGTGGGCCTCTCACCCCAACTGCTTCAGAACCCTGAATTCCTGAGTGACCTGGGGGTGGAGTTTCCCAAGCCCCAATCCGGTCCCTAGCCTCAGCTGGCCCATTCTACCTCCTTGTTCCTCACCATGACTCAGCAATCCTCTGGGGCACCGTCTTGAGGGTAGAGGGAGGCTAGAAGGCAGCGTATGCATGGGATTTGCATCTCTAGAAGTGCTTCAGGCTCCCATCATCCCCCAGGAGCCATAAGGGTGACAAAGCAGAACCCAGGAGGGCGGGCCTGACTGGCCGGACGACTCCAGGATAGCACTGTGCCCTGACAAATGGGACAGCCCTTCCAGTAAGCTGGGTGGGGGCATGACCCTTATCCTGTGACTTCCCACACCTACCTCCATCCCCTTAACCTAGTCTCTCTTCCACATCATTCCCTTACCCCAACCCAGCTCTCCTTCTCAAATGAATCTTCACCTTAATTCTAATCCCATCATTGACTCAGTCCCCAACTTTGATTTTGACCTCACCCCTAACGCAACCAGCCACTGGGGATCATGTATCGAGAGCCCCCCAGGTACTGTGCTATTCCAGGCGGTGGGGAGAAAACCAAATTATGGATAGACTACTCTAGTGGAGGAGACAGACATCAGTCACAGATGTTAGCTACAATGCTGTGAGAGCCATTAATAGCTAACTTTGGCCTTCCTTGAAAAAGCAATTATTGAGCTAAGATCTGAAAGAATTAATTAACCAGGTCTAAGAGGTAGAGCAGGAACAGTGTGTACAAAGGTCCTGTGGTGGGAAGGAGCTGACCTACTTCCTTAAGGATTTACTCTAAGTCTCTTTCTCAAGGATCCCTTTCCTGATCACTCAATGTCTAAAGTTTACTGCCTGTACTTCATATTATCCTCCTTGCCTTATTTTTTCTCTTCATCATTTATCATTATTTAACATACTATTTATTTTATTCGATCATTAGGTAATATTGTCTATTTCTTTCACTAGAATGTAAACTCCATGAAGACAAGGATTTGCTTTGGTTACATTATATTCTCTTATATTCTCGGGACCTCACTCAGTGCCCAACACCCAGCAGGGGCTCATTCATTCAGCGTCTGTGGAGACACTGTGACTTTCCCTCGATGGTGCTAGAAGGCTGCCACCAGGGTGGAAATGTGAGTTGGTGCTTCCTGGTTGGCAGGAGCTGCCACCAGGGAGGCGGAAGGAAAGAGGGCAGGTCTAAGACAAGGGGACAGGAACATGCCTCTCTCCTCACTCTCCCTGGGTCCCAAATGCTATCTACTGAGAATATAACTCTGACTCTCTCTCATCTCTGTTCCTAATCTTAGTCCTAACACCACCCTAAACACAGCTTTCTTTTAGGACCTGACTCTACCTTGGTCCTCATCCCTCTGGCTTCTGTGTTTCTAACACACACACACACACACACACATACACACACACAGTTCATTTTCTTTGGAGTCCTTAATACCCAAACTCATAGCATCTGTTTGTTTACTGTTTCTTGTTCTTGTCTCCCAGCTAAGCTCCATGTGTGTTTTACTCCTTTGTATCTGCACTGCTTAAAACAGTGCCTGGTTACACGGTGCATGCTCAATAACTCCATAATTATCAATAATATCACACTCAATAATTATCAATAATAATTCAGCACTACATGCCAGAAGAACTAAGAAATCCGTCCTGGAGGAAGTGCAGTCAGAATGCTCCTTAGGAGTGATAACAGCCAGACTTCGTCTCACCTACTTCGGTCATGTTGTCAGAAGGGACCATTTCCTGGAGAAGGCTGTCATGCTTGGTAAAGTGGAAGGTCAGCGAGAAGGGAGAAGATCTTCAATGAGATGGACCGACACAGTGGCTGCAACGATGGGCTCAAGTATAGCAAGCATTGTGAGGATGGCCCAGGACCCAGCAGTGTTCATTCTGTTGTACAGAGGGGTCACTATGAGTCGAAGCCAACTCAATGGCACCTAACAACAACATGTGCTGAACAATGAAGGGGTGGATGGATGAGTGACCTGGTGCCTAACAAACCCGATTCTAATGGAGCCTAACCCTGATTCCAACTTCATCTCAAATCTTCTTCCTAGCTTCTTTATTTTCCTCCATCAGGGGGCTTGTACTTCATAAAATTGAGGGACAAATTAATACAGTAAAATTCAAAAAGTGCCCTCTATACGCCCAACAGGAGCTCTAGTAATGTAGTGCCTAAGGCATCTGACTGCTAACCAAAAGACTGGCAGTTCAAATCCACCAGCCACTCCTCAGAAGGAAGGTTGGGCAGTCTACTTCCGTAGTGATACTGCCTCAGAAACCCAAGGAGGGGTCGCTATGAGTCAGGTCCGACTCGATGGCACATAACAACAACAACAACAACATACTGCCAACAAGGAGCCCTGGATGGCTAAGTGCTCAGTGCTAACCAAAAGGTCAGCAGTTCAAACCCACCAGCTGTTCACTGGGAGAAAAGACTTGGTGATTTGTTGTTGTTACAATTTCAGGCTAGGAAACCCTATGGGGTAGCTCCGCTCCGCCATATGGGGTTGCTATGAATCAGATTTGACTCAGCACACAATGACAAATACCATCAACATTTCCAGCTCCCTGCATGGCTCCCTTCTGCTTGAGCCCAGCCTGCACCCACAGCCCAGAGGTGTCTCTGCTCTGACCTTTATAAGCGTTGCTCAGCTTCGTCTGTTCTGGAGCCTCATATCAGTGGAGTCACTGAGCATGTGCCCTTTTGTGTCAGGCTCTTTTCACTCAAAATAATCTTTGTGAGATTTGCCCATGTTGTAGTTTGTATTTTTTTATATATTATTATTGTTGTGTAGAATTCTGTTGTATGAATAGACCATCTTATTTATCCATTTTTTTGTAATGTGGTAAATATATCAAATGATGTATTGCATTGATACAAAAGATTGCTACAAAAGACTTCTTTAAAGTGTTAAAGAACAAAGAAGTCACTTTGAAGACTAAGGTGCATTCGCTCCAAGCTCTGGTATTTTCAATAGTCTCATATGCATGCAAACTGGACAATGAATAAGGAAGACTGAAGAAGAATTGATGCATCTTAACTATGCTTGTGAAGAATATTGAATATATCATGGACTGCCAGAAGAACAAACAAATCTGTCTTGGATGAAGGACAGCCAGAATGCTCCTTGGAAGCAAGGATGGCATTGCCTGTTATATTTTGGTCGTGTTGTCACAAGAGATCAGTCCTTGGAGAAGGGTAGCATGCTTGGCAAAGCAGGTGGTCAACGAAAAAGTGGAAGACCCCCAATGAGATGGGTTGACATGGTGGCTGCAAGCACAGCAATGATTGTGAGGATGGTGCAGGACTCAGCAGTGTTTTGTTCTGTTGTACATAGGCTCACTATGTACCTTGACTGACTAGATGGCACCTAACATAGCAACAACATATATATATATGTGTGTGTATGTGTGTATATATATATGAAACAAAACAATTGCCATTTCAGCAATTTTTTTATGTTTGATTCAGTGACACTAATTACATTGATTATGTTGTATAACCATTGACACTATCCATTTTCAAATTTTCCCATAATTCTTAGTAGAAACTCAGTGTACCTTAAGTCACACTTCCCTCTTCCCTCTCCCTCCTTCCCCTGGTAACAAATAGTCTTAGTTCTCTATACACTTGCTGATTCTGGATATTGCTTGTAAGTGTGATCATACACTAAATTTGTCCTTTTGTGTTTGACTTATTTCACTCACTAGAATGTTTCCAAGGTTCATCCATGCTGAAGCATGCATCAAGATTTCAGATATTCCACTCTAGCTTAATTCTTGTGCCCCACATTTTACCCCAACTGTCTTCCAGTCTTGTCTTCAACCTCAGGGCCTCTTTAGCTGGCTCCTATCCCCACATGAAGCCGCAGATCTTGCCCTCCCATCCCTGGCCACTTCTCCTGCAGTGTCTCTAGAGTTTCTCACTTCCCTTGTGGTCCCTGAGCCCAAGGTTCAACACTCACCACTCTCTCTGTCATGGACTCTGGGCCCTGGGGCAGCCACTTTCCTAAGCTGAATGGCCAGGCAGCAGGCCAGCTGGTCAGCAAGTTTGTGCCCCCCCCCCAACCCCTACCCACTAGGGTTTCCAGAACCAATGCAGGTCACCCTCTGCTCACAACCCCGCTCATCAGGAGTCCCAGTGCTGCAGCCAATAGGGGTGGGCAGGAAGAAAGAGCTTATTAGCCTGATAAAGATCTGGGGGCCTTGTGCCCTCCCTCAACTTCCAGGAGGTGCTGGCTCAGGCTGGACTGGCTCCCCCACTCTGCAGACTTCTTCATCCACAGGTATCTCTGCCCGCCCTCTCAGAGGCAGGTCCAGCGCCCTGCCTGCCTCACCTCCCTGCCAGATCCCAGAGGGCTGGGAGCCCAGACGCTGCTCGCCCCATCACCACGAGTCCCGCCCCAGCCTGCCTGGCTCCGCTCTGGCTCTCAGTCAGCCAGAGCAACAGCTTCTCTGGCTCTAGGCTGTCTCCCGTTTCGACAGCTCCAACTCGGGGAGGCTGGCTCTGTCTTCTCCACTGTGCCTGGCCTGGCTTGGGCCCCAGTGTGGCCCCCTCAACAGTGTCCAGGATTGAGCCGATCCTGTGCCTTCCTGAAGAGCAGCTATGGCCACCTACAAAGTCAAGGTGGCCACGGGTGATGACCCCTTGTCAGGGACACTGGATTCCATCTCGCTGACCATTGTGGGGACCCAGGGAGAGAGCCATAAGCAGCTACTGAACCACTTTGGACGAGACTTTGCAACCGGGGCGGTGAGTGTATATGTGGGACAGCTGGAGGTGGGAGTGAATTAAGGTGGGTAGGACAGAGACCTGAGGGCCAGAGCATGTGCAGAAGAGGCTGGAGAGCCCCTGGAGAGACCTGGACACAGCATGGTTTTAAGGGGGCCTCTAACATCCCTTACTCCAGACCCTGCTCTCCACCACCCCACTCACTCGTCTCCAGGCCATCATTTCTTCATCCCTGGTCACCAGCTCTTCTCTCTTCTCAGTCTCTCTCTATTCCTCCCCTTTCTCAACTCTTCTCTCTCTGTCATCCTCTTTCCTCTCATCCCTCATCACTCAGCCCTATCCCACCCCCATCTCCCTCCCTCTTTTTTCATTCTTTTTTTTCTCTCTCCTTCATCTCTCTCTCTCTCCCATTGTTACTCTAGTTAAGTTGCACCACAACTGGTTTAAATTTGCATTGGATTCTCCGTGATTTAAAATGGCATTCAACTAGCCTGTCCTGTGAGGACCTGTCAGCTCTGTGATGGAAGGTATACCTGGCTGGGCTCTCAGCCCTGACTTTGAGCCAGGCCCAGCCATCAGCTGCTGTGTGGCTTGAATAGGTCATTCTAACTACCGAAGGCCTCTTTGGAACCTCCACATCTTCACTGATTAGTGGGGCTGGCTGGACTACCTCTCCCCAGCCTATGAGTCCAGAAGACTTGGGAGGCTCTGGGCCCTACTTGGACCCCTGCATACACTGGCCCCTAGGGACTTGCACAGTTTCTATCACCGTAGGTGGCTGGGGAGGGAGTAGAGGAGAAGAAGAGACCTCCAGAGCTGGGAATGTAGAGCAGAGAAGGGCTGGGTGGATGGGCCTAGCAGGGGACAGCCAGGCAGGAGAGGCAGGAGCGTCTTACCTCCCCATTACCTCAATCCAGGCAGGTGAACATCACTCAGGTGATGAGTGAAGGGCTAGACCAGTGGGTGACCTGAGGAATCAGGGTTGAGTTCTGCTCTCAGTCACCCCATGTGTCCTGCTCAGGTGGACAAGTACACTGTGCAGTGCCAGCAGGACCTGGGCGAGCTTATCCTCATCTCCCTGTACAAGGAGCCCTCCCTCTTCCCCAAGGACTCCTGGTATTGCAACTACGTGCAGATCTGCGCCCCCAACGGCCGAGTCTACCACTTCCCCGCCTACCAGTGGATGGATGGCTACGAGACCCTGACGCTACGGGAGGCTTCAGGTGAGCTCTCATCCCCATCCCAGGCTGTGGGGCTCCTCCTTCCAGCCCAGCCACCTACCTGGCTCTTGGGGTGAACCCTCAGTCAGAAGAAAAGGAGAAGGGTCAGGATACTCCACAATAAACCCATCAAGCCAGCCAGGCACTAGCCCCACCAGAGAGTCCCAGCAACTCCTGCTGGTCTCGCACTAACCCTTGGAGCTGGACCCTGGAGGAGTGGGAATGTAGGAGCAGGGTTGTCTCAGGACTCTGGCACCTGACTGGAGACAGCATTCCAGGAGCATGTTCTTTTACTTCTATGCTCCTCCCCTGGGTGCCTACAGGGTGCCTGACCACTCTTAAGAGACCCCTTGTTACTCTGCATGCCAGTCTCAGGACTCTGATAGGATGCCCTACCGAATGGCATACCCTGTTACTCCAACACAATGCCCAATTACTCCAATAAGATTCTGTTACTGCCCCAGGAGGCCTTGTTACTCTAATAGGGTGATCCATTATTCCAACTGATGCCTTGTCATTTCATTAAGAAGCCCTGTTAGTTCAATGGGACTCCATGGGACTCTAACAGGAGGCCCAGGACGTGACCGCGATGCTTTGGGTTTCTCATCGAGCATATTTTAGATGGAGGGAACATTTTATTGTTCCAAAAGGACTCCTATGACTCCAAATGGGCACATTATTTCTCAAAGAGAGCTTGCTCTTAGTCCAAAAACACCAAAAACCAGTTGCTGTTGAGTTAATTCTGAGTTATGGCGACCCCAGTGTGTCAGAGTAGAACTGTGCTCCATTAAGGGTGTTCAATGGTTGATTTTTTGGAAGTAGACTGTCAGACCTTTCTTCCAAGGTTCCTTTGGATGGACTTGAACAGCCAACCTTTCAGTCAGCAGCCAAGTGTGTTAACCATTTGTACCATCCATTTGCTCCCAAAGAACTCCTTTAACGCAGTGAGAATCAGTCTCACTCTGGTAGGATGCCGTGTTATTCATACAGACTGTCAAGTTTTCTCTGTGGTGGCCTGATTGAGGTTTTCCAGGTGGTTGGTTGCTCCTATGAGAGAGGACCTGAGTTCCTGAGCTCTTTATGTCCACCACTTCCCAGAGCCCTTTGCTTGGTAAGGGTGCTTGGATCAGCTCTACATGGGAACTGTGCTCCACTGAAGATATGTTCTTTTTTATCCCCCGGTCTCATCTTGATATGGGTGGGAGTGCAGGGCAGAGCTGAGAGGGCCCAGGGACCCTGACCTCCCTGCATCTGACCAGTTCTCATTGTCCTGTGCCTAGAGCCTTCTTCTGGGAAGAAGGGATTGACTGGGGGCTGAGCTGGGGAAAAGATAGACAAGGGGCAGAGGGAGGCAGGCCTGGGGAAGGGTGGGGATGCATGGTGAGGGCCTCACTGGGGAAGCAGAGTTTCTTCCCACAGTGATAGATCTGAGTACCATGGAAGCAGGGGACCAGCAGGGTGACACTGGGTGGCCAAGCAGGAATGGGGTTGGGTGGGGCAGCTGCCATGCAACATCAGGGCAGGGAGAGTTGAGTCACCCAACGAGCCCTCAAAGGAGTGAGGCTCCCACCCTGGAGATGAAGCCAAGCTGGGTCTGTGTGTTGCATAACTCCATGGGGTACCGTTCACTTACAACATATCAGCTCTGGCAAATGGACTAGGAACAGGGTGGTAAGGGGGGTGCTTGAGGGAAAGTCATGGGAGCATGAGCCAGCCTAGAGACTACCTCCACTTACTGACTGTGACACTTGGGCACATTTCTGAATTCTTCTAAGCCTGGGTACCCTCATCTGTAAAATGGGGCTAACAACAGAACTTATTTCAGAGGGTTGATGTGAGAATACAATGAGGTAATGTCTAAAAGGAGTTTAGAGAAGTTTCAGTAAACAGTGTGACTACGTATAGTCCCTCTGAGTGGTGCAGATCATTAAGTACTGGCCATCTAAGCGAAAGGTTGACAGTTCAAACCCACCAGTGGTACCTTGGAAACACTATGGGATGCAGTTCTACTCTGCAATGCCATGAGGTGAAATGAACTCCATGACAATTATTATGATTATTATTGGTGACCGTGTGTGGTAAGCCAGCAGTCAGATGCTGACTGCCCAGCTCCCGTGCTTTCTCCATACATAATTTTGGATTTCGGAATTGTGGAGAAGGGATTATGGGTCTGTAATAGCTCACTTTCCTCATAAGGTTGTTCTTATGTGAATTAAATTATTATATAAACAAAGCGTCCAGTACCTACTGTCCAGCCTCTCTGACACCTCCTCCTCATCCTATCTCCTGGCTAAATAACTTAGTTATTCATGTTTCAATGAGTCTGGAAGAGTAGCTTTGAGAGGCAGTAGAACTGAACCAAAAGAGAGCGAGGGAGAGGAGGGTAGGTGGAAGTCCTTTTGTCTGGGCCCAGGGCTGACCTAGGGGAAGAGGACAGAAATTGAACTCCTGCTTCCTGACATGGGCAGGGGCAGGCAGAGCCAGGGATCAGGCATTGAGCCTTGAGCTTTCCCTGCCGTCTCCCCACAGGAAAGACAACCGCAGACGAAACGCTGCCCATCCTCCTTGCGCACAGACAGCAGGAGCTCAGAGCCAAGCAGGAATACTACTGGTGAGGGGCAAGGGCACAGGGCCGGGGCTGGGGGTGGGCGGGTGACCCGAGCTGCGAGCGCTTCAGGCCCTGGGTGGTGCCTCTGGGGTCAGGGCCCACCCTCTCGACTTACCTTTGCAGCTGGAGGGTCTTCGTTCCCGGCCTGCCCAACTACGTGAACATCCCCAGTTACCGGCCTCGTGTGCGTCGGCACCGCAACCCCAACCGACCGGAGTAAGGATCCGAGGCTGCCCCTGGGGCTCCTCCCACGGACACATGGGTTCCTGCCCCTTCCCCTTTGTGGGACCCCCCGCCCCAGGTGCCAAGCCCAGCCTTGCTCTCCTCCCTACAGGTGGAATGGCTACATTCCGGGGTTCCCGATTCTCATCAATTTTAAGGCCACCAAGTTCCTGAACTCAAATCTCCGCTACTCCTTCATCAAGACCGCCTCCTTCTTCTACCGCCTGGGGCCCAAGTAAGTGTGTGCGAGTGCGCTCCTCCGGCAAAGACTGCACCCCCCTCTCCACGGGAAGGCCGAGAAGACTGAAAAGACCCAGAGACACAGAGACGTGAGGCCCAGGGACCTTCAGATAGGGAGACCTTGAAGCGTGGGACCCAGAGACCCAGATAACCGGGAACCTAGAGAAACAGAGACTGAGATCTAGAAACTCTGAGATCCGGAGACCCCGAGATTCAGAGCTACGGAAGTCTGAGATTTTGAGACAGACCTTCAGACTCAGAGACCCGAAGGCCAGCTCTGCCACGGGTCCTGCGGGCTCCGGGCAGCCTCTGTGACCCCTTCTCATCCCATCTCCTGTTGTTGTTGTTGTTATGTGCCGTCGAGTCGGACTCGACTCATAGCGACCCCTCCTTGGGTTTCCGAGGCAGTATCAGTACGGAAGTAGATTGCCCCATCTTCCTTCCGAGGAGTTGCTGGTGGGTTTGAACCGCCAGCCTTCTGGTTAGCAGTCAAGTGCCTTTAGCCACTAGGCTACCATTAGTCCCTCCTATCTCCTAGGGCCCTGTCATTCAAAGTCCGCGGCCTGCTGGACTGCAAACACTCGTGGAAAAGACTGAAGGACATTAAGAAAGTTTTCCCTGCCAGCAAGACTGTCATCTCCGGTATGGGGTGGGGCATTCGGGTCTGAACCCGGGGGAGCCAAGTGGCCTCTGGTGGGAGGAACTTGGGGACACGTGGAGGAAGCAGGACACCCACCTGGGGCACTGGGAGAAAGGGCCGGATCGCACCAGAGGCGAGTTAGGCGGGCGCGCCCTCTGGCGGTCGCTTGGAAATCGTCGCCCACGGTCCCGTGGACCATGCCTGCCCCACGTCTTTCTGTCCTTGAGGGGGGCCAAGATTGGGTTGAGACGCCCCCGTGCCGTCCCTCCAGAGTACGTGACCGAGCACTGGGCAGAGGACAGCTTCTTTGGATACCAGTACCTCAATGGCGTCAACCCAGGCCTGATCCGCCGCTGCACGCGGATCCCAGACAAGTTCCCGGTCACAGACGAAATGGTGGCGCCATTCCTGGGCGAAGGAACTTGCCTGCGAGCGGAGCTGGAGGTGAGATCCTCTTCGCACATCCCTGTCTCCATCTCTGACAGCCCCCCTTTGGTCCCACCCACGCCTGCATCCTTCACTCCCAGGCCTGTCCACGGGTGTGGATCACTGGTGCCCCGTGTTGATGCCTACATGCCCGCTCACCATGCCTCCCTTCCAGAAGGGAAACATTTACCTGGCAGACTACCGCATCTTGGAGGGCATCGCCACCACCGAGCTCAACGGTCAGAAGCAGTACCATTGCGCTCCCCTCTGCCTGCTTTACTTTGACCCTGAAGGAAACATGATGCCCATCGCCATCCAGGTGCCCAGGGTGCAGTCTGGAGCTCACTTTGAGCATATTGCCAGGTCATGACCTCTGTGCGTGTGCATCTGAGTGAGCGCATTGCTTGTGAGTGTGCATGTGTGCTTGTGTGTCCCTGTATAGGGCACGTGTGTGTGTGTGTGTGTGTGTATGAGTCTGTAAGTGAACCTCTCTGTGTGTGCATCTGAGTTATCAAGTGGTCAGAGGGTCAGCCTGTGTGTTTGTGTGTGAACCTAATGTGTGCACCTATGTGTGAATATGGGCATGTGTGTAAGCATGTGTGCTTGTGTGAGTGTGCATGCCTGTGCACGAATCTCTATGTTCCTGAGTACGCTTCTGATAAACACCTCTGGTTTAGTATGGCCCTGTCTGTGGGGGGCAGTGGTGAATCTGTATGTAAATACATGTACCTTCATGTATGTTTGTGTGCGTTTTCTTCCTGTGTGTAAGCCGGTGTGCATATATGTGCCCAGGTGGATAGCCCTGTTGTGAGCCTTGGAGTGAGCATCTGTGTGTCCCTATGTGTGCATATCTTTGTGCTGCCACTGTGTGTCTATAGGTCCCTGTGGTTGTACTCATGCATAGCCCCTGTGTGCATATGTGCAGAAGTGAGCAGATGGGAATGTGCTTGGGGGTCTGAGCTTGTCTCTTTGACTTCATCCATCCCTTGGATAAACAAACTCTTGTAGACCAGGCCAGGCCATAATCCTATGCAGCTAATTAGACTTAACTGTCATCTTGGGATTCTGGTTTGGCAGGAGACAAAACCCAAAGTGCTTCCTCTCCAGAGGTGTCCACAAAGGCCATGTGCAAATTAGAAAAAGACACCTCTCTGGGGAGCAGTCAAGCCCCAGTGCACCTGGAGTTTTAGTGAGACAGTGCAGGCTGGATTTCAGACACCCTCTGGCGGGGAGGCTAAACACCCTTGTGCAATGCACAACCTGAACATCTGAATTCAGTGGCGTTGGGATTGAGGCAAGAAAGGCTTCTCGGAGGAGACAGCTTGGGAGCTGGGCCTTGAAGAATGAGTGGGAGCTGCCAGGTACTGCCACATATCCAGGGAGGAGGTACTACAGGCAAAGGGCATAACATGGGGAGGGCAGAAAGGCCCTGCTGTGTTCAGGGAATGAGGGACTGGAATGTAGGGAGTGGGGTTTTAACCTCCTCGGACTGCCCTCTGCTTCCTCCTGCAGTGGGTGCCTGTGTATGTGCGGGTCTCTGCCCTCACCTAACCCTCCCCTCTTCCCCACCCCCAGCTCAGCCAGACCCCTGGACCTGATTGCCCCATCTTCCTGCCTAGTGACTGTGAATGGGACTGGCTGTTGGCTAAGACGTGGGTTCGCTATGCTGAGTTCTACAGCCACGAGGCCATCTCCCACCTGCTGGAAACCCACCTCATAGCCGAAGCCTTTGGCCTGGCCATGCTGAGACAGCTCCCCATGTGCCACCCCCTCTACAAGGTATGGGCTTGGGGGAAGGGGTGTCCAGGAAGCCTCACTGCCCTCATCTACCCACAGAAAGCCACCTGTCTTGCCAAGAAGAGGGCACGATTCCAGTTAGACTTGGGGGATCAGTTAAGGAGCCACAAGAGATAACTTAGGGTAGTGACTTCCCAAAGTGACAGAGGTTGATGTTGCAGAAATAGAGGTGCTGAGGTCCTTTTGGGGGTAACTTCAATCTGCTTTCATTGTCCCCCTCTCTTTCTCCCCACAGCTCCTGGTCCCCCACACCCGATTCACCATCCAGATCAACAGCATTGGGCGGGCCATCCTTCTCAACGAGGGAGGGCTCTCAGCCAGGGTAGGGCCTCGACTCTCACTCCCACAAGACCTTTGCTTTCCCCGCAGTTAGACTAAAAGCAAGACTTCCCGTTTGCCTCTAGGTAATGAGGGGGCATGGGAGGAGGGGATTGATTGAGGTGGGTGCTGAGTTAGAGCTGACTCCACAGCACCTAACAACAACAGTGTCCAGAAAGGTACAGAGGCAGGGCCTGGGCGTGGGAGCAAAGAGTGTCAGGGCTCCTGAGGGGTGGGGCAAGGTGAGTCTGGGGTTAGAGGAACACTCCCTTGGCTCTGTGGGGGGCAGAGGGGGTTTGAAGTCGATGTGACCCCTGGAGACTGACCCCTGGAGACGAGGACTTGATTCAGGCTCTACCTCCTCTTGCACAGGCCACATCCCTGGGCCTGGAGGGCATTGCTGAGGTGATGGTTCGGGCCCTGTCAGAGATCACCTATGACGGACTCTACCTCCCCAATGACTTCGTGGAGCGCGGAGTCCAGGACCTGCCCCAATATTATTATCGCGATGACAGCTTGGCCGTGTGGGATGCACTGGAGAGGTAAATTTGGGACAACAGTTGAGTAGCACTCAAGGTGACTAAGCTGGGGTGCAGAGGGGGTGGGGAGAACTTCAAAGGACCTGTACTTGAGTGTGGTGCCATACAAGTGGCTTGGCCTTGGGGATAGGGTCTGGGGTCTGTGTGGCTGTCACAGACATATTTAAGCTTTGGTGGGGCCTAGGGAGGCTTCGTGGGCCTCTTCCTTGCTTTGGTCCCTAGCCCACCTCTGCTGGCCATGTATGCCCCTCACTTGATCCTTATTAGGAAGTGATTTAAGTATCTTCTAATCCTGTAAGGCTACTCTCGCCACCTGTGCCCAACAGGCCTGCCTAGCAAGACCAAGGCATCTTTGGGGGAGGTGGGTGAGCAAGATTAGGGAAGGCCAAGGGATGGTCAAAACTGAGGTCCTGCCCTCTGGCCAGGTATGTGACAGAGATCATCACCTATTATTATCCAAATGACGCAGCCGTGGAGGGTGACCCGGAACTGCAATGCTGGGTGCAAGAGATATTCAAGGAGTGCCTGCTAGGACGTGAAAGCTCAGGTATGGGCCTGCACACCAGGACACACAGGCAGGACCTGCGGCTGTGAGGCAGGCCCCAGACAGGTCCATAGCTGGTGGGGGGTTTATGGAGAGTGGTGAGGAGCTGGTGGGGGCTGGTGGGGACCTAGTGGGAGCTGGTGGGGACCTGGTGGAGGCTGGCAGGCTCTGGAAGCATCCTCAAGGTCATGTCACTTGGGTAACCACTCAACAAATAATTATCAAGCACCTACTGTGACAAACACTGTGCTGGTTATTGGGGAGGCAAAAGGGAAGGAGGCAGATAAAGGCGCTTGCCCCCGTGCAGGGAGGGAGTCATGCAGGATGAATGCTGTGTTGTGGGAAGCCCAGAGAGGAGGCTGTAAGAGCCCAGGGAGCGTGTGGTGGGGTATGCGTTAGGAATGGGTAGCAGTGAGCTAGCTGGGATCTTCAAGAAGGAGAAGTTAGTCATTAGATAACAGAGAGTGGGGTTGGGAGAGTTCTGAGTGGGAACAGCATGAAACCAGAAACCAGAGAGAACACAGTGAATCCAGGGATCTGTTCGCAGTTTTCTGCACTGGAGCTTTAAGCTGGGAGTTGGGCAGGCTCCCAACAGAGCTAAGACTGAGGCAGGGCCAGATCAAGCAGCCTGGTTAAGGAGTTTGGAATTACCCCTAAGGTGGCATGCAAAGAGAGCAGGTATGTATGTTAGGATAAGCAGGCTGCACCGGAGACAGCAGACCTCTGGGAGCTATTGCAGTATTCAGGAGGCAAGTAGCAGGGCCTCGTCTAGAGTGAGGGCCATGGAGATGAAGAGAATTCAAGAGCTAGTTGGGAGATAGAGATAACAGGACTCAGTGATTGATTGGTTTGGGCTTGGAATATGGGGACTAAGGAAAGGGAGAGGTCAAGGGTGACTCCTAGGTTTTGGGTTTTCACAACTGGGTGGAGGAAGTCATTCCCTGAGCTGGGAGGTCAGCAGGAGGAGTTGGTTTGGGAGGAAGATGATGGGGCTGGGTTGAATGTGTTGGGCTTTCAGAACTGGAGTCACCATGGCAACCAGGGCTGCTCAGGAGAGACAACAAGAAAGAGAAGCAAGTAGCTTGGTTAGGGAAGAGGTGTGAGACCCAGGGCTGGGCTACAGAGAAATCCATGTGGAGTGATTACAGAATCTTGCATGAGGTGAGAAGAGAGAAGAGTAAACCAGGAAGGGAAACCAGGACTCTTCCCAACAAAGGGAAGGCCCTCCTCACCCTTCCCCAGGCCTGGGACCAAGGAGCCCCTAGGGGTGCTGGAGGAGAGAACTGAGGGCCCCAACCCAGGCAGGAGCCAGGAGCAGCCCTAGAGGCCAGTTGAACCACTACGGAATTTGTGATCTAGGCTGGGCGGGTGGGGTTGTGGCCCCGGGAGGGTCATGAGGGCAGGATGAGGGCATGGATGTGGCAGCTTGGGATTTTGGCAAGATGGGGTGAACTGGGCTTGGCTGTGCCCTCTGTTGGGTAGCCAGGACCAGAGCAGGATTGACATTGCCTGGGCTGTCCCCTACCCCTCAGGCTTTCCCACATGCTTGCGAACGGTGCCCGAGCTGATCCGCTATGTCACCATTGTCATCTACACCTGCTCTGCCAAGCACGCGGCTGTCAACACAGGGCAGGTACCCATGCTACCGTCCCAGACTTAACCTCAGTGCCAGTCACAACCTCACACCCATCCTTAGCCACAATCGCTCATGTAACTCCAACCTGTCCACACCCCAGGCCCAGCTTCAACCCTAGCTTCAACCTAAACCGCAGCCCTGGCTCCGGGTCCAGCTCCAAACTCAGCCCCAACTTCAGCAATAACCTCCAGTCTGGTCCCAACCTCAGTTTCAAATCCCAGGCCCAGGTTACATCTCAGACCCTACCGCAATTTCACTCCAACCTCAGCCCCCAGCCTTAAGCTCAACTCAGTTCCAAACCCAGCCCAGCCTCAGCCCACTACTGCATGAGTCCGTCATGATGGGAGTGAGGGTGGTCAGACTCTAGTGGAAGGGGGGACCCTGGACACTCTCTGACCCAGAACCCACTTTCTGCTCCACCTGCAGCTGGAGTTCACCTCCTGGATGCCCAACTTCCCATCATCCATGAGGAACCCACCCATGCAGGTTAAGGGGCTGACCACTGAGGAGATCTTTTTGGACACCTTGCCAGATGTGAAGACCACATCCATCATCCTATTGGTGTTCTGGACACTCAGTCGGGAGCCTGACGATAAGGTAGGTGCCTGGGATCTCGTGGGGGAGGGCCTCTGAGCATATGAGCAACTGGAAGCTGGGGGGCTAAGGGTGCAAGGGCCATGTCAAGGGCAGGAAGCAGGGAGAGAGTCTGCTGAAGGGGAGGTGAGGGAAGAGTGAGGCTCTTTGCCAGGCCAGGAGGGTTGGGTTACAGCCCTGGGCAGTGGCAGGACTGGCTCTGGCCCAGCTGCCTGGTTTTATGCCTGCAGCGGCCCCTGGGTCACTTCCCCGAAATCCACTTCGTGGAGGAGGTCCCTCTCAGGAGCATAGAGACGCTGCGCCAACGCCTGGCCCAGATCTCGCACGACATCCGCCAGCGCAACAAGAGCCTTCCCATTCCCTACTACTACCTGGACCCCGTGATGATCGAGAACAGCATTTCTATCTAGACAGCCTCTCCAAGTTCGCCTCTCCTGCCTATTTTCCAAAAAAAGAAAAGAAAAGAAAAAGAAAAAACTTCAAATAAACTCAGTGCTTGCTCTTTATTGGGGTGCGGGCAGAGACTGGGCTGGGCCGCGGGTGTGCCCCTGGGTCTGAGGTCCAGCTGGGGCTGGCGCGCACTGGGACATACTGTATGTAGTACGTATCTCACACAACCATGCTGTTCTCCAAGACCAAGAGATCCAGGGAGGTCTAGGGCAGCAATCTACTTCCGTAGTGATACCGCCTGGGAAACCCAAGGAGGGGTTGCTGTGAGTCAGGTCTGACTCAACGGCACATAACAACAACAACAGCATCTTTTCTATGTTCTGGAATAGTTTGAGTAGGATTGGTATCAGCTCTTCTCTGAATGATTGGTAGAATTCTCCAGTGACATTGTCTGGGCCAGGACTTGTTGTTGTTGTTGCTAACTTTTTATGACCTGTTCAATTTCTTATTTTGTTATAGGTCTGTTCAAATTTTCTACTTCAGTCTGTGTTAGTTTAAGTAGTGTGTTTCTAGAAATCTGTCCATTTCTTCTAGGTTTTTAGGTTTGTTGGGGTATAGTTCTTTATAGTATCCTGATATTCTTTTCATTTCTGTTAGTTCTGTTGTGACGTCACACATTTCATTTCTTATTTGTGTTATTTGCATCTTCTCCTTTTTTTCCTTTAAGTTTGCCAGTGGTTTGTTGATTTTATCAATCTTTTCAAAGAACCAACTTCTAGTCTTGTTGGTTTTCTCTGTTGTCTATTTTCTGTTTCACTTATTTCTGCACAAATCTTTATTATTTCTTTTCTTCTGGTGACTGTAGACTTTATTTGCTGCTCTTTTTCTAATTGTTGGAGATGTTGGGTTAAGGTGTTGACTTGGTCTCGCTCTTCTTTTTTGACGTGTGCATTTATTGCTATAAATTGGCCTCTGATCACTGCTTTTGCTGTGTCCCAAACATTTTGATATGTTGTGTTTTCATTCTCATTTGATTCAAGGAACTTTTTAATTGCATTTTTTAAAATTTATTTGATTACTCAGTCATTTTTTAGGAGGGTGTTATTCAATTTCCAAACATTTGCTCTTTTTCTGTTGGTCTTCCTAGTGTTGATTTTTAATTTTATAGCACTGTGATCTGAGAAGATGCTTTGCAGTATTTCAGTGTTTTTAAATTTATTAAGGCTTGCTTTGTGGTATAACTTATGCTCTATCCTGGACAATGTTCCATGTGTGCTGGAAAAGAATATATATTGTGCTGTTGTGGCTGAAGTACTCTGTAAATTTCCATAAGGTCAAGTTGGTAGATTGTATTATTTAGCTCTTCTGCATCTTTGTTGAGTTTTTTTCCAGTTATTCTATCTTTTATTGAAAGTGGTGTATTAAATTCTCCTACTATTGCTGTAGGGTCATCTATTTGTCTTTTCAATTCTGTTAAAGTATGATTTATGTATTTTGGGGCTCTTTCATTGTTTGTATAGATATTTATTATGGTTATTCCTCTTGCTCAATCAATCCTTTAATCATTACATAATGTCCTTCCTTGTCTCTTATGGTCATTTTTGTCTTAAAGTCTGTTTTATCAGAAATTAATATTGCCACTTCTGCTCTTTTTTGATACCATTTGCTTGACCTTTTTCCGATCTTTTATTTTTAGTCTACTTTTGTCTTTATGTCTAAGGTGAGTCTCTCATAGACAGCATATTTGTGGGTTATGTTTTCTTAGCCAGTCAGCTCCTCATCTCTTGATTGGTTCATTTAATCTTTTACATTCAGTGTAATTATAGACAAGAATGAATTTATTGACATCATTTTGTTAGATGTTTTTTCGTGGTGTTGCTGATTTTTTTGTTCCATATAATTTTCTGTGCTAAGCTCATTTTGTTTATGAATAGTGTTATCATTTCCTTCATTGCTGTTGTTTTAGTATGTGGTGTAGCAAATTACTTAGTGTGGCTTTTCTACCCATAAGTCTTT